GATAGCGTCTATTAGTCGATCTAGAATTTCTTCCTGCCTACTTCTAGTCGGTGTTACACGTGGTTCGCCCACGGCTTCCCTAAGACGTCCTATTTCTCTATTTACTTCCCCGCTAGTTACCTGGAGGTTATCCGCGGTGTCACCGTTCCACGCACTGCCCTCACCTCGCGGCGTCTGAGGTTGGTATGTTGCCATTACGCTCGTTGCGGAAGTCGCGCGTGCGAACAATTGACTCTCGTATGAAATCAACGATGGTTCTCGTTGCGCGCTTCTAGTACCGTTCCCTAGCAGGCTCTGATCGATTTCTTCGAATGGGAATACTCGCTCTATTATAATGTTCGGAAGTGAGTCTGGCTCCGAAACACTATCGCTAGAATATTCCGTTGCTAATACACGGCGTGCGTTATCGCGGATGTCGCGTAATGCTTCTAATGTTATATGCACGGGACTTACTATACTAACGCGTCGTCTTCGCGGTACAGGCTCGCTCAGTATCCTCGAAGGTACCGGAGCGTTGTTTTGATCGCTATTTGTAACGCCTTTGGACATCGGTCCGATTACATTGGCTATATTATAATTTTCTGACTTACAATAACGCTGTTACTCGCATGTCGCTTGTAGTCAGGCGATAAGTATCATCCTCGTGCGATAATTATCATAATAATCAGACTGAACGGATCTTTTGTCTTCACTCTAATAATAGTTTTACGAATGTGAATTGATAGATACCAAAATAAAAGGTGATAGCTTTGTTGTTTTCCTCATCGGCGCATTCCGTTTTCCTTTTTTTTTAACCAGCTATTTTCTTTATACACACATTACACAACATAATTCATTATTCGCTCGATGGTTGATACAGCATCTCTTGTGTTGTGCCGCTGTACGGCACGGGTTCGGGATCCACTTAGGACTCGGGGGAATTTACACAAATAAGCACTTTCTGTAGTTTGGTTTAGTAAAAATATATCTCATTTATTTCTATACGATACAAGTTATATTGATTTACACTCTCACTTCACGTATCGTACCCGCGTCGCGCTTTAAGTACGGCAATGCTTCGGACGTCGCGACGCGTTATGCTTAAATTGCTTGACCGAATTTCTGACCGAGAATTATCTGACTGGCCCCCGGTCGCCTACGCGGCCGTGCTTTTATTAATTATTTTGGGGTCGCCCGTATAGCCTCGTCAGCGTTCTACTCAGACGAGGCCAGCGTCCGCGCAATATCTTAGTCAGCGGTCGAGTACTGCTTTTATTATAATAATTGGTTTATATATCATATTGGCAATAATATGATTGCGCTAATGTTATTTTAGTATTTCGCCGTTCTGTGGCGAAATCGTCACAGTGGATATAGCGCAGTTTTGCACTCGTGACACATGCTTTGGCCTTCGCCCGCCTTATGGCAAGCCTGAAGTCGCCCCGCGCGGTACGGAGCGCTTCGGCTGCCATTGCCATTTCCGCGTCAATGCCGCGCCGCCTCGCACGAGTGTGCACACGGCGGGCGGCTATGGTGGTCCGGCGGAGCTCCGCCAGGTCCTCCGACCTCCAATAAGCCGCTCGCCTATTCATAGGACGGTTGCGCGGCATCGACGCGTCGCACGCGAGCGACATCACGTCTCCGAGCCATTCAGCCTCCTCCTTCACCGTGATGGCCGGGTTACGATTCGGCCAGGTGGCTGAGAGAAGGCTGGCTTCAAGGACGCTAGGGTTCATCTTCTTGAGGACCCATTGACGTTCTTTCACAAGGCGGCCGGTGTCTTCTTTGCATCTCCGTGGGGGTGGACACCAACTCCATACGGATCATTCGGTGATCGGTTTGTTCACCGAGGGAGTCGGCACTCGCCATCCAGTGACCCTATGGGTCGCCGCAGGGGTTGCCCACGTGAGATCCACGATGGACTCCCCCGCGGCCCCACGAAGATGCTGGCTCGGCCCCTGTTAAGAAGGATGAGCCCCGCCGCCCACTGCAGGGTGCTGTCGCCCCTGGAATCCGTGGCCGGGGAACCCCACTCAACCGAGTGGGCGTTAAAATCCTCCCCGACCACGATAGGTCTGGGGGAGTGTCTTGCGATATGCTCCCCCAGTGACTCCAGGGTGTCTTCAAACTCCCCCCTACTAAGACGAGGGGGGAGGTAACACCCTGCTACGTCGATGGGTCCCCATTCTACCAAGACGACCCATTCCCCGCCGATATTGGTAGCATCGGCGGGGTGTCACGCGCGTGCTGGCTGACCACCGCCACCCAACCCAGAAGGTCTCCGGCCCAGCTGGGGTGACCCTCTGGGACGAAGTACGGATCGGCGGCGATGGCCAGCCCCCCTCCCCACTCGGCGAGGCATTGCAGGAGCATGGCCTGCGCACTCGCCGAGTGGTTCAGGTTCGTCTGGGCTAGGGCCGCGAACTTAAGGCCGTTCGCGGACCGCGCCTTGCCCAGACCCAACCTCCATATTTGGCTGGCTACCGAGCACCGGAGAGATCGGTCTCTCCTCGGCAGCCGCCATCTCTACTTCGGCAACCGTCGTCGCCGAGACCGGGGGTTGCTCCCCAGTTTTAGGGAGGCTGCTGGGCTTGCTTTTGCCCCCCTTCTTTCCCTTTTTGGCAGCAGTGCACGCACTGCCGCCAATGCGATGCCGGTGCGGACGGCCCAACGCCTCGCAGGCCGGGCACCTGGCCCCCTCCGCCTCGCGGTTTTTGGTCAAGTGCCCCAGTCCTCCGCACCGGTAGCAGCATCCCGTCCTGGTAACTGCGCTCGTGCAGTGGGCTTGGACGTGCCCGGGCTCCAGACATTTGAAGCACTGAAGCCCGCGACACGGCAGGAGCACCGCCCTGCAGCTCGACCACCCCACCAGGATTCGTGGGGTGGCCAGGATGGCCCTTGTGGCCGCTACAGGGCATTTGGCCCAGCAGGACCCTAGTCCATTAGGTTGGCGGCGAATATCGCCAACCTTTATGTCCTGCTGGACACAACCTCTCGCCTTAGCAAGTGACTCGGCCACCTCCTCAACTGTGGCCGAGTTGTCCATGCCCGTCACGCGGATTTCCGCTGTTTTAGTGGGGCGAGAGATCGTTAAATCGTCTCTCGCCCTGAAAATCTCCTCGGGTTTGTCGCGGAGGCGGTCCGCCTTCTCCGCTCCACTGGGGCCCCTGACCTCGAAAATTAGGGCCCCAGTGAGTGCCCTCTTTGGGCGGAAGGTCCTCAATCTCCAGCTCTTTTAGCGAGATTGAGGCCTTGGCAAACCTTACCGCCTCCGCCAGTTTTGGGGGGTCCGCACAGGTCAATACCACGGCCGCTGACGGTGGCGACTGCAGCTTAGGTATGGCAGGCTTGACAGCGGCCTTCTGGCCATTAGCCTCCCCCACCTCGCGGACCCTCCTTCTTACCGCCTTTCCTTTGGGCGGCTCTCGGTGGGCAAGCCGGCTACGGCTTGGCGGTCTTGGCCTTCTCCTCCTTTGCTGCCTTCTGCCGAGCCTTTTTACTCAACTGCACCGTAAAGCCGCCCTCCTGTATAGGCGCTTCCTTCTCTCCCCCATCCTTGGGTGGGGGTGGTGGTGGTGGCTTCCCTTGATCCGCCCGCTTAGCGGGCGCCTCTTTGGCCACCGTCTTAATCGCCGTTTTGGCGGCCTTTGGGCGGGGAGCTTTCCGTCCCTTTGCCACCCTTAAGCCCGGCTGCTTTGCTGCGGTGGAAGCAGAAACAGCGGAAGCGGGCGCAGCAGGCGCGGTAGTAGGGGCGCTGCGTCCTTTTGACGCAGCCCTTTTTCGCGCCGTGCCCGTGGCCGCCACCCGACCAAAGCTCCTCCCGGTGACCATGCTGCCCGCCTTCCCGTCGGGCTTGGATGGGAGTGGTGTTGGTACCACCCCCATCTCGCGCAAAACGCGGGGGAGTATGCGCCCAAATAGGGCCCCCAATATCTCCCCCTCCGTCTTGCCCTTCCCACTCTCCCTGTTTCCCCTCTTCCTTTCCTGGGGAGAGGGCCTGGAAGGCTCTTTAGCCCCCGACGTCG